GATTATCTATCTATCTATCTATCTATCTATCTATCTATCTATCTATCTATCTATCTATCTATCTATCTATCTATCTATCTATCTATCTATCATCTCCCTCCCTCCCTCCCTCCCTCTATGGGGATATCTTTGTCTGGCTCCACTGTAAAATGCTGGTGATTCAAAGGCTACTGGTATATTAGTTACTGGGAAGGGGAGCTAATTGTTCATTTGAGCGAGCAAGTTGTTGACCGTGTCCCTTGAGATAACAAAATTAACATGGGATACAAAATAAATTGCGGTTGTGAGGTTTGTTTGAGTTCTTCTAAAAAAAAACAACATTTTTAAAAAGTTGGATTACATTCAAGAAATGGATAACCTTCAGTCCGCATGCTGCTTTCTGAGTCTTGTTGCCTGTTTTGTTTCCTTGGTTCTCAGAGATCAATGGCCCTGACATTGAGTGGCAGAACTTTCCAGTTCTGATCCTGTGATTGTTCCCAGTCTCAAATATGGATGATTAGAATGAGAAGGGAGACACAGTACAGGATGTCCAGTCTTGGCAACTTTAAGACTTGTGGCTTCAACTTGGGGGCTTTGACTCTCACAATTCCTCAGCCAGCCATGGTTTTCAAGTTGTTAAGGTTGGACATCCTTGTTCTGGAAGATAAAATTCTCCCAGTTCCTAATCTTAATGCTCTTCCCCAAAACCACCCAAATGTTTTCCCTTTTGAAACTATGGTGGGCATGGGAACAGGAAGCCTCAGGAAGACAAATGCACCCATTATCACCCTTAGATATCTATCAAACCCATCCAAAAATGTACATACATGAATACGTACACACGTAGATACATACATATGGCACACACACACAATGCCCATGGCTTTATCATTAGGGATACCTGTTAAGTTTGCCTGAGGGAATGTGTCTGTCTTTAATTTTTTCCCCACAGAATTCAACAGCTGTCTGCTTCAGAGGGATGATGTTTAATTGGAAGGTTGCTAGATAACAGCAGAGTCTCTTTGAAATACAAGCTAGCAAAAATAAATGAAGTAGAACTCAGGTTAACATCAATAGTCGGTTCTTTCAGAGCACTGAGGTCTGGCAGTTACCCAAAAACATTGGATGCTGATGCAAATTTTGACTATAGCTATCACATGATCACTTATTTAAAAATGTAAAGATTGCCCTTTCATTGAGATTGGGAGCCCATTTAATCCTTTATCCTATTCCAAATAGTACTACTTGATGCTGCAGGAAAGCCCACAAGAAGGGTGTTGTTGTTGGCCAAGAATATACATTTGTATAATATCTATATAAAGATACTATGCTACTTTTTACTCAATCAGATCAGTAGTTTATAGAGGCCAGTACTGTACAGTTTGACATCCTCCCTCCCTTCCTCCCTTCCTCCCTCCCTTCCTTCCTTCCTTCCAATTGGAGATGTTTAGCACAAAACCTGGATCTTCTTCACACATCTGCTTTGAATGAAACAGCAGAATTTCAAACCACAGAAGCTGATAAGTGATTAACAGAAATTGTGCTGGTGCTGACCTTGATAAAGATCATGTTAGCTCTTTGAAGTTGAGGAAGCTGGATATAGTAATACGAGTAAGGACATAGCTCTCTGTGTTTGTGTATGTGCAGACAAGAGAGGGAGGAAGGGAGAGAGAGAGTGGGGGGGACACAGAGAGAGGGTACATACCAGAGAACTTTTACAGTTGCATAATGCATTTTTTATTTTGTGAAATAGATCCTAAATAGTTCTTCTGATACCCCCAAACTCTATATTTTTCCATAACAGGGTTGGATGGAGCAGTGGTCTCCTCCATTGGCAGAGAGGAATTTCACTTCTTTTGCAGGGATTTAGAGGGCCAGTTTTTTTTTCCTGCAGGCAGATCTATTGATGACATCTATAACTCTCAATGTTTCTTGCATTGGTAGCATTATAGGAAAGTGGAAGAGCTAATTCTACTTTCTACAATTTTCCAGTTAGGTTATTTAAAACAAACCAGGAGAGCAAACTATCTCTTCAAGATGTCCAGATTTGCCAGCACAAAGAAAATGTTCCTTTGTTTCTTTTGTTCCTGCCAAGAATCATCTTGGAAAACCCAACTAAGATGTGCAAATATTTATAAAAACAGTCAAAGGTTTACAGCTTTGATGAAATCTCACAGAACTGTCATTGGAGTTCTTTAGAATGGAAAAGTGGAACAACCAACGATGCTTCAGAATGATGGGAAGATGTCTAACAGAAAAATTAGTTTCAATAACAGCTCAGTAGTAAAATTACACATCTCATATAACAATCATCAGCAAATTTCTGAAATTGACTGATAAACAAATGCCAAGAGAAAGAAGAAAACAATTATCCAGCATTCTGAGAATAAATTAGAAAATCAGTAAACGTCTGTATTAAGGGTGGGGTAATTGCATGGTACCACATTAGTCATGATGGCTGTAGCATGAGATTAATACATGGAACTGCACAAGATCAGTATCCTTCTCATAAAATAAACAGGTCCAGCAGAATATTTGTTTAGCTATGAGAAAAACAGCAGCAACTGTAGAGCAGAAATCAAACTATTAGAATTGAAAACAGGGATGGGATTCGACCGGTATAACTACCGGTTCTGTTGCTCTGCATCACACGAGTACAATTTATGACCTGCTGAGCTGCCCGGACAGCTGAGGAGCGCTGCATGTGGTTGCACAGCAGTTGAAAAAGCCCTTTTTTCCTGCTTTTTCAACTGCAGCTGTGCCGCACAAAGCAGCTGAGGTTGAAAAAGCAGGAAATAAAGGACAGGTAAGAGCCCAGCCAGGCAGGTGCGCCAAAACAGCAGCAGACATAGAACTGGTTCTGTGTCTGATGCTCTTCAGAACAACCGGTTCTACAAAGGTGGACAGAACTAGTAGAATCCCACCCCTGATTGAAAATTTGTGGGGCAGACTTTGGCATGCTCATTTACAAAAACTGGGACTGAGTATGTGAGCCAGTTCATTATTTTGGATTTATTTGCAGATAGGCTAAAACCTATTAGCTTTGTTATTCCCAGACTCAAATGCAAGCACCTTCTTTAGTTCTTGCCTCTCTTCTGATCGTCCTTTATGTCTTTGATGTATGGTCTAAAAGTAGACCTTTAGAAGCTAGGCCAGTGTTTCTCAACCTTGGCAACTTTAACTTCAACTCCGAGAATTCCACAGCCAGTAGGATAAACCAAGAGTCCTCAGTTTTACCCCAAGAAAAGAGACTCTATTGGTTGAAGATGGCTGATAAGACTTCCTTGCCATGCTGTATGGAATGAATGGATGAGGAATTTGAAAAGGCCAGTTTGGTTGACAGCTGCCTTCATTTATGGTTTTATGCAACTGACCTTGCCTTCTAATTAAATGCACAAAAGTGGGTTTTCCTACTTAAATAAAAAAAAAACAAAAGCAAAGATTTCAGGCCTCCTTTAAATGAAAGGAGGAATATGTACCATTGTTTGCATGCAACATTTTTAAAAGTGTACAGTCTACTACTGGTAGTGGCTGTGCATGTAGATGTACTAGCATGCATTAAATTATTTTAGCCTGCCTTGGTTTGGGCAGAGGTTCAAATATAGTTCCATTGATTTTCTATCCCAGGCAGTTTAGTTGAAATGCAGATGCAGAATGTAACTGAAGCATTTCATATGTATAATTAAACATTTATGTTGGTGGATGCAGTGTCTCTCAAACTGGCCTTTAGTTGTGGTTTGGCAGATGAGGCTTTGTAATAGGAACAGGGTCTTAATCAGACCTATTGGTTTGGGAGATACTTGATGGCCCCAGATGGAAGAATCTGTATCTCTTGTGGTTCTGAAACAGAGGTTAAACTACCATCCATGAAGGACATAGTAACATAGATGTGCTTCAACCATGTGCTGCTGGTTTGTTCAGCTGATTGCTTCTGGCCAAAATTGTGATGGAAGGCTCCTACTAACTTTCTGTGCTGCTGGTTGAAAGGCTTTTTGGTAATATGGCTTGAAATAAACTTACAATCTGTAATGATAGTAATCAACTTGGGAGTCATCCTGTAACTTGGTACCTTCAGTGTCATCCAAAAGCTGCATTAAGGTGGCTGTAGATTCTAGGTTTTAGACTGCCTTCCAGGAGTGCTTTGAAATTCCTTATGGCCACCCCAACTTGGAAGACTTCTTAGTATGTTTTTTACAGTATTTTGTAGTATTTCTCCAAGAAGTCCCTCCAGCACATATTTCCTGATTTCCTGAATCTGTATGGAGTCACATGGATGTAATTTTTTTCAGCCAAGATTGCAGGAAATATCAGAGAAAGCATTATGAAGATTGAACAATATGGATGCCATCTTCAGGCCTAAAAGCTAGGATTCCATTATTGGAATCCTAGCTTTCATTGGTTGAAAGGATGCTTTGTTTGAAGCTTCATCATAATTAAGTATTAAGTATACCTCTCTAGAACAAAGGTAGATCCAGGGTGAATTAGCTTGAGTGAAGCAGTGGTAGATTAGGAGAATAAAGACAGAATTCCTTGTGCAATTTTTTATTTTTTATTTTATGCACAAGACCCTTCTAGAAAGCAAGAACTTTCTAAAAGTACTTTTGATGGATGAAACTTTTCTAGATTGGGATGTGAAAAGGAGGAGGGGGAATTGGAGAAGGAAATAAGTTTCTCTTTAAACTTATTTGCTTCTTTTGGCATTCCTTTGGTGTTTCCTTCTGAAAAATGTTGGAGCCTTTCCAGATCTTCAACCAAGAAAAGTCTTTATGATACCCACTTGTTTTGATTGTTTTAAAACTTACCTAGTGTAAGTTTGGGTAGCTATTGGAAAAACCTAGCACTATAGACCATACGTTGACACCAGTAAGGGTTTAGAGATATTAGAGGATGGTTGGATCATCCATCTGAATAGATGCCTCCAAAGAAGGACCTAAGCTGATCATTTGTGACTGCATTTGAGAAAACTTTTTTTTAGTGAATCTGTTTATAACCATTAGTTTCCTTTATATTTCTGTCTTTAGTCAGGTTTGATAAGGACACAGGAGAATGACTTCCTTATATCACCATTACCTCAACATCTAGCACAGCAACTTCACTATATGCCACCTGCTGGACACCACCCTCATGTATTGTATAAACGGACAGCCGAAGAGAAAGTGCACCAGCACAAAGTAGATCCAAATCTTTACCACTTTCCCCCTGACCGTCACAGCAATCTCACTGCCCACAAGTACCACATTCCAGCTAACAATTACCGCCATGGAAGGTTTCAAAAGCAGCATTTTTGTGGACGGCGCAAGAAATGTATGTAAGGACACTTTCTCTTTCTCTCTCTCTCTCTCTCTTTTCCTCTCTCTCTTTGACATAACAGTCTTAAGCATATTAGCTTCATATTGTTGTACTCAAGGTTTGCAGGCTTGATTCAGATGCAGAAGTGTCTGACGAGTCTGTCACAGAATTTTCTATCTTGGAATAGACCTTCCCAACAACTTCTAAACTAATGGTCTAAACTAAACCAACATGGACCATTTGAAATGGTCTGTTTTGGGAGCCAGTCATTTCTGCTATATGCAGTATGGCCACCATAAGAACAGAATGTTCAGAATATCTTTAAGAAGAAGGATAGAGTGCTGGTGTCAATAGATACATGTGAGCATCTAAGGAGCACATGAAGAAGCAGATAATATAGTCTTTTTTTTTTTAGGATGCTAATGGTTCCATACTTTCATAATAGATATTATATCAGACTTCCCAACCTAATGTTCTTTGCACATGTTGGATTACAACTCCCACCTTCCTTCCCTTTTCCAATCTCCTTCCTTCCTTCCTTCCTTCCTTCCTTCCTTCCTTCCTTCCTTCCTTCCTTCCTTCCTTCCTTCCT